TATTAATCATGAATGGCTAAACTCCACAACCAAGGATTGTGGAATCCATGACGACTTAACCTAAAAATAGGGTTTTTACAAAATGAATAGAGTGTTGTGCGTGTATGTCTTGTTAGCTCTTTCGTCTTAATCGACTTCTAATGGTTGCAAACATTACAACATGTTTTAAGATTAGCTTGTTTGACTAAAAATGGCAAAAACTTGAAAAAAGAGTTAATAACAATAATTCGAGAATTCGGACTTGTCTAATGGTTAATACTATAGCAAAATTAACCAACTTCAGTATTTGTGTGTGAAATAGTTGGAACACTTTTAGTTCAAAAAAATAAAAGTGAAATACATTTAATTTGGTTGAGAAACAAAGGCGAACCCCGGATTTGAAGATAGGGGGCACCACTAAGAATGGCTCAAGGGTAAGGCAAGGAGTGGCTCAAGGGTAAGGTTAACAAAGCGCATTTGAAGGCTATATTTATCGATGGATATTCTTTCTCTAGGATCCGATTTAAGTAACAGCAAATCAAACTCATCTATAAAATGCAAAGAATTGTCTCTAAAACTAGAACTTGGTTGAGAAGAATTATTTTCATCACAAATCTATCCATTTCAAACCACAAGAATCAACAACAAATTCTTACAAAAAATACGCTTAAAAGAAGAACTTACCAATTTATGCAGAGATAATAGGAGTAGGACTTCAATTATGCAGTGAAGAATACTTGTAAGTTGTAGGATTTTCAGCAGGTGTTAGGATTTTTATTTGTTTTTAATTTCAATTAAAAAAGGAATGGGGTAGATGAGATGACAAAAAAAGGGTGGTTAAGAAAGGGGGTGGGGCAAGATGAGCTGAGAAAAACGAGTTTTAATAAAATGTTAACTCTAACGAAAAAATTGATTTATAAAAAAAAATCTCGCAGGAATCGAACAAGCGCGGTTGCGCTTTGAAATGACGACTTCGACCAATGCACCCAGGCGATTTTTAGATTTTAGTTATAAGGGTGCACAATTAAATATATTATTATTTTATCAACTATATAAATATATATATATATATATATATATATACAAATTTTTCTTAAAAGTTATCGAGTGCATGTGGGTCTGCCTCTATTGAGAAATTATTGGATGTAACATAAGTTGATAAACTGATAGACTAATGACGCAAGATGAAGTCCTATAATTAACCCTAAAATGGTCAAATAGTCTTGGTGAACACAATTCTGGTTATTTTTCTCTATTAATTCTAAATCAAGTAATATTGTTGATTGGTACTTGATACAAATTGCTTTTCAAACCAAATCCCATAATTTTCCATTTGTTTTAGAAATAAGTAAGTAAAAGTAGGTAATCGCATACGACTTAGTCTCGCCTTATTTCCTGTGGGATTTGACCCCAACCTAGTTGGGTTCTATATTTAACGACAATCGCTTTGTACTTCTTAATTGAGGTGTAAGTTTGGGCATATCACTTCCTAAAATAGGGTTAATAACACTTTGGTCTCGGTTATTAGTGAATTCTAGTTTTAGTCCTTATGATACCTAACTAAGTACGATTAAACTTCAACGATATAAAATGTGTCCTTTTGACCCTTTTGCTTATGAATATTCACAAATAATTTTTAAAATTATTAACCGGTTCACAGTTTAATTATACATGTGTAAATGTTAAGCTTGTGCAATTATTTTATAGTTGATGGTAATATACTTCTATGAATAGTTCGAATATAACTATTTCCTATATAACAGGTTCAAAAATACACATTTTAATTAAGGGCAAATTAGCAAACTAGTCACAATCCCTAACATAATTATTAAAAACATCTACACTTTAAAATAATTATTAAAAATGTCAATATGTTAATATTTTAGAAAATAAATTGTATCCTAATATAACTAATTTCATTTCCTTTTAATTTTCAAATCAGGCACACATTGGACCATTTTTTTACTCCCTATCCGGTAAAAAAGGGGAAAAAGGTCTAAAAAATACTCCAACTTTGGCTGAAATTGTTGTTACGATATCAAACTTTATGGAGGACCTTTTACCCCCTACACCATTTAATAGTTATTTTAAAGGTATATATATAATAGGGTATTTTAAAAGTTACACAACTTACCCCTCTTTCTAGATTTTACCCCGAATCACTCCTTTCTCTCTCTTCCCTTTTTCACTATTGTTATCTCATTTTCTTGTTCAAGAAAATCAACTATTCAAAAATTGTAGAGGAGGAGGAGGAGGAGGTTGCAAAAATTGTATTCATACCAGAATTCTATTCATATTAATTTTTGTTTGTGAATTGTTTTTCTTTTACTTAACATTTGTATTTTTTTATGAAGAACATTGTATTTTGTTTAGTTTGTAGTCATTCCAATAGGTATGTCAAATCAGAGGCGTATCCAGGAATTCGTCAAGATGGGTGCACGAATACGAAAAAATGCATCTTAAATATAAATTTGATAAGTTTGACTTTCAGGTTCTTAATATGAACCATTAAATTTTAAAAATTATATGTCCAAAATATATGATACTATTAGTTTTAAATTTTAATATACACATTTGATTTAATTATATAAAAACTTTTAGTGCAAAGTTTTTTAGGAACTTCCAATGTAAGGCACTTGAAAATTTTGAAAGATTAAAGGAAAAAAAACAAAAGAAAAATTAGTTGAAACGTCAAAAATATAATCGATAACCACTTGGGGAGGTGTTACTCAAAAGGACAAGATAGATATAAGACTTAAATTTTTATCTTTACTTAGAGAGGTGCACTCAATCATTATTGTATTATTATATGATACTTTAAACGTGGGTTCACACATTTATATTTAAATATTTTTAAAAAATATACACAATTATATATGATCTAGAGAGGGGAGCATGGGTTCACGCGAACCCACGGCACCCCTCTAAAATACGCCCCTGTGTCAAATGGATTTGTATTGTTAAGCATAGATGTATCCTATTTTTTTCTCAATCAATTTGTAGTTTTTTTTATAATATTGTATCATTCCTCAACAGATTGTATTATTTTCATTATGTCTGTTATTTTTTTCCCAAAATCTTGTATTCTTATTTCTTTGACAGGGAATTTTTTTTTTAGAATATTGTATGATTTCCTCAACAGATTGTATTATTTTCACCATGTATGCTATTTTTTTCAAAATCTTGTATTCTTTCATAAATCATATTCATATGTAATGATTAGATTATATTGGGATATAATTAGTAATATTTTTATAATACAAATAAAAGAAAAATATATTTGACAATCATGTAATACAATTTTGACCACTGAGATACAATTCATGATTAAGATCTTGATAAAGGAGAAAAATGGAGATTGAAACTGTTCATCCAATCGAATGAGAAAGGGAATTTCTTTGAAATTGTAACTGATGAAAATTTTAAGTGATATATTTCTTTTTTAAAATATTCTTTCCCCTGATTTTCTCCTTTCTGTTATTAAATAGTTTTATTCTTGCAAATCAAACAAATAAAAAATACATTACTCAAATACATAACAAACTAAAATACTGACATTTTAAATAAATATTAAAAGTGTGGCTAAGGAGTCCTATTAAATATGAAAATATTGACATTTTGGAAATCTTCCCTTTAATTAATTAAAGATAAACGTGTTACAAGGACAAAATTCAAAATTTACCAATACCAAAGGAGCCAAAAGTGGTATTCTCCCTAATTAATAAGAACTCTTAACTACACCTTGCCATCATTGAGGACCTAAAAAGATACTATGAGTCGAACAATAGTTGTTCACTATTGACTTTGTACACTTCTTAAGAAACTATAAATAGAAAGATAATTTTACTATATCACCCTTTGAATATAGTAAATAGTAAATATAATGTCTTGAAAAATGTAATAGAGAAATAACTATAATTAATGATAAGGGTAAATTAGGAACTAAGTGTAAAATAATTCATTGATTTCATAAAGAGGACAAATATTGTTGGACATCCCAAAATAATATAGTGGACAATTATTATTGGACGGATGGAGTAAATTTTTCAATAAGATAAATGGAGGAATAGGTTATTTTGGGAGAGGAATAGGTCTAACTTCCTAATATTCACAGAAGTCATTAAAGGAACACGTTAAATAGATTAATTGTCATGACACATAAATTGTAAAACGTGAACTTACATGTTCTTTATGTAGTGGAAGTGGAAGAGTGAAACAAATTGTGGTTGGAATCATTCCTCAGTGATGGTTGTCCCGGTATGTTGGATCAATAGAAGGTAACCATTTGTATATATTTATTAATACAGCACCAAGGTTTTACTGAAACCATATTTACAAGTGAAAAAGAAGAATAAACTGCTTCATCAACCAAATAAAAAAAACAAGTGTCCATCACTGAAGCAATATCTTCTATGTATCTCTGGTTAGGCCCAAAACAGAAAAGTCCAAAGCAATTCAACTTAATCCTCTGAAATGAACTGCTAATGTCTTCAAAACATCTGAAATTTCTCTCTTTTCAGAGTCCACCAAATGCAACTTGGATCAATCCTCTATACATCTCTGTGTCAACAATGTACTTGCTTCTTCTCAGTTGAGCAAGACCTCAATAATCTTTCTTGACATCATCCAAACAATACTTCTGCGACTAATGAAGATCTTCCATAGCATGGCAATCAAGTTCCATCTCTTAGGCATTTCTAAAATGTTTTGGCCTCATTTCATTTCACTAGATGGTATTATTTTACTGGATTATTTTGACTTACATATGTCTTGGTAATAATGAAAGAGAAATATTGAACTAGTGTTTGAAAAGTTAAATTGATAGACACATCCCGTCAAGATTTATAATTTGAATATATTAATGAATTTAAATTATTGATAATTGCAAAATATATGTAAATATGAAATGATGTCAAACATTTTAGTACTTCCATATGATAAAAAAAGAAGAGCATATATTGCTACAGGGAGAGTACTAGTATTATTTTTCCTATAGAGATAAAAAAGAGAAGGTACTTAAATGAAAATGGACAAACATTTCAAGATATTGGATAAAAAGATTGCAGTAAACGTATGTATGACACCACTTTCTTAATCATACTAAGTACTTTTGTCATATTCCTTTGGCTGATAATATGCCTAGAAATACTAGGCAAAGATATTGGAAAAGAAGGAAAAGTTTGACAGCAGAGGGCCGGGAGCCCTGAAGGACCAACAAGGCATATCATAGTATACAAGTTTACTATGTCCACAGCATAAGCTTCCAAAAGGAAAATTCAAATCAACAATTAAGCCTTTCGCTTACCTGACACATGTCTTCGCACTAGCGACAACTTGGACCTTTTATGAACACTCCTTTCATCTTCACTATCCTCACTGTCCAATACAATCACAGCTTCACATTGTGGTGATTCTTTTTCCTGTTGCTTCATGTTCTTGTTATAGTATATATTCTCATCTTGGTTGGGCTGCTTATGATCACATAAGTTCTCACATGAAAGGGCTGTGGAATGTTGCCCAGATTGAGAGGTCAACTGAAAGATATTGTCCTTACCCTCTCCAGAGTGCTCTATAGCTTGTAGTGGCAGATTCTTCAAAGTCCCACAACGATTAGATGACTTCCTAGTCCACACATCACAAGTATCACCAGTTTGTGAAGGAAATAATAAACTGGACGCTGAATCAGTGCATGAATCAGATTCTGAAGCAGGTAGGTTTTGAGATGGAGCTAAATTCTCTTTGTCACACTTCTGATGACATTGAGATGAACTGGATGTGTCAAAAGGATGTCTCCTGCCAGTTAAACCCAGCTTCTTATGCCTCGTGAAGAAACCATTTCCATTTTGATCAGAAGCCTTTTTATGAGGTTGCTTATTGTTATGACCAGGGGTCCCTGACAACGAAAGAGTTTGACATGATGCAGTGGACTGAAGTTGGACTGACAGCTGAGGCTTGACCTGCAACTTCTCAAGATCCTCGTGTTTTTGGGTGAAATCGGTTGACTTAAGCAACAGCTTATTTGTACTCTTATTTATGCTGACATTTCTCATCTCACTATTATGTGGATTGGCAGTCTTCCCTGAATTGCTTACAGCCTGTGGCAAGGCCTGTATATCTGCATAATTCAGAAAAATACTTTGGGGTTCCAAACTGGCAGAACATTTAGTTTTTGCCATATAGTTCTTCTTCTCACCATTTCTAACTTTAGATGGACTCACAATTTCTGAAGATAGTTTCTTGGTTCTCTGTTGTACTTCATCCTGATTCAAGTCACACTCGATGGGACATTCTTCCATACCTTGTTTGCTAACTTCCATCTGCTTAGTTAAGATATGATCAATAGGCACTTCACTCACAGTCTCACCATTATGCCTTTGTGCACGTCCAGCAGAGTCTAGTGACAACTTTCTGCTGAGTCCACGTAATCCCTTCTGGTTCACAAAATGATCAGGGACCTCAGATTTTGGTATATTTAATTCTTTGACTTCAACCTGCAGGGATCATGTGTGAGATTTGGTCAAAAACTAATAAACATAATCATATTCATCTAAGCATCTTCTTACAATTCCTTCTCTTGCATTTGTAAGAGTTTGGATTTCTTGGTCATGACCCCCAAAATCACTTGCTCCAGACGTGGCGTACTTTTGAGTCATTGATCTTGCCTTGTGGTCAAATGCTTGTCTATTGTATTTGTACTCCGTGCTCTGCACATAATAAGCATTACGAGCACACTACAATCAAACAGGGTAGGTTCTAGTACAAATTACCACACTGCAAGAATATTAACTCACCGCGTCATGCATTAACCCATCATCAGGATTAGGCTCACTTAGTAACAAACCTATACTTGTTAAGACAGTTGAAATATTCAAAGATGGCTGCCATGCTCCCTGTTTTATTGAATTGACCACCACTATGAGCAATATATAAAGACACAAACTTTTGTTAAATTTACGAGAGTTATTATAGAATGGTAGATATCAAAGATTGCATGTACGCAGAAAAAATAGATATCCGAGATCCAAAAACAGCATAATAAACATGAATATTATGGTGTTTAAGTTAAGCTATGATTCTGTAATCATTGGCATGTGAAGACTCTTAAATGTTAGTTCCCCATGTGTGAAGTCCAATAAGATAATTCAAGCAGAATGAATACCATTACTTGATCAGTAATATAGAAGAAGATTGGCCCCCAAGGCCTAGCTCAAGTGGCAAAAGGTGGAGGATTTGTGGCTTAGGTCGCAGGTTCAAGCCCCACACCACGCAAAGCGAAGCCCGGTATTTAAGTGGAGAAGGGTAGAGGGGCGGGCCCATTATCCATTGAGTTTAAAAGGCTGTGATTGGTCCAAATGGCAGGTCAAAGACGGATTTCTCGGTTATCAAAAAAAAAATATAGAAGAAGATTGCTTGAAGGCGTTCGCAAAGAGAAGATTTGACCCTTCAATGCATAACCAGCAAGCAGAAACTATCAGCAATTGTGACCATTGTCATGTGATAAAAAGGAATTGATTTGACTACAGCACATAAGGTAGATTCATTGGGAAACCATAAAAAGAGCAAGAGTGCTTGCGTACTTTATTCCTTACAGTGAAAAGATATTGTGTGGGTGCAATCTCTATACCTTATTCAGGATAATAAGAAAATTAATTTGGAAGTACAAGACAGTAGTCTAAAATTTACTCAATTAATAAGAAGAATGATTTGAAGAAAGTAACCAATTTAAAAATAAAAAATAAAAAGAATAATTTGAAGAAACAAAACCTCTATATGTTAAACATACATAAGCGAGCTACAAAGACGAGTGAAAGCCACTACACAGTCAGACTACTTGTGAAAGCAAAAGGAGCACATAAAAGATATCAAATGCTAGTTGCAGTCCAGGTCTCAAACTATTCCATTCCATGTTGGACAATCTTAACCAAGGATTAATATCAATTAGATCCTTAAGGAGAATCAACAGATGAGATGTTATGCACGATTGTGATCACTTGTACAAGCTCATAACTTGAGCAACTACTATACACTTTGAACCCAACATGAAATGATATTTATACAGGCTCTGGAAACTGGAAGAAGGCAACTTTCTTGTTACTGGATGATGGATTTTAGACAACAGTATGCTAGTGCTGTCTGAATGTATGAGAGTTGCAGTGGTTTGAGTTTCCACATCTAGAAGACAAAGTACAAAATAAGTAAATCCCCAGGGCAAGTGCTATTTAACTATATGTTTTCAACTCTCAATCAGAAGTCTACAACACTAGTTTTCACATAAAAATTGAAGTTACTAGTAATCTGACACAGTTGGCAAACCTTTGGAGGAAGATTGAGAATATCCAAGCAAATACGGCCACCATTATCAATATTTGGATGATAAATGGGCGTTAGGAAAGTGACAATGGGAGGGTGAAAGGGGTACCTGGTCAAACAAACAAATAAAGGTCAAGAATTGAACCACACAACACATAAAAAATTTAATTAAAAGAGAAGAAAAACCTTTCAGGTATCTGAATTTTGAGTTTAAAGAGTCCTTTAGCATACACAGTTCCTTCAGGGCCTTCAATTACTGCAAATAGTGTGGAAAAAATAAAAAAAGGGAATTCAACATAACTGGAGATAAATGAGAAATAATGAAAAAGAAAGTTGAAAATTTACAGGCATGAATGGAGGAAAGAGAGGAGGAAGAAGTAAGAGAAGGAAAGGAGGCGCCGGGAGGTGGATCGGTGAGAAGGAGCTTAAGCTCCCTTTGCATTCGGAGGTTGAGCCGCGCCTCTTGAGCCATTTCCTCTTATCTTAGGGCTCACACCACAGGACACACCAATTTAAAAACAGTATCCCATTCCCGCCCCCTAAATTTGAGAGCGAGGGAAAGTTTTCTTTTATTTATTTATTTTGGTAAATTAATGCAACTGTCTTAAAAGGATGGTCAAATTTTTTTTTTCGTCCACAGGAAATTATAGTATAGTATTTCTGTTATAAAATAAATTATGTTTTTAGTTTTTTAATTTATTTTAAAATAAGTGAAAGGAGTATTTTTTTATATAAATGATGTTTTAATTTTTTATTTATTTTAAAGTAAATGATATTTTATATAATCAAAAAGTCATCAATGATGTTTTTTTCTAATTTTAGTTTTATATAATGAAAAAGTACTAAATAAAATTTAGTAAAATATATTTTTATTTTCTAAAAATAAGTAATTTTTAAGAAGTGTTTCCAAATTAAAAAATACCATTTATTTTAAAATTGATGAAATGCTATATATATTATTCTAGTTGTTCAAAATGCCAACTACAAAGATCTATTTTCTAATGTCCAAAAAGAACACCCTTATGAGTCATGACTAACTAGAATATCAAATACTAATTATTATTAAAGGGGGGAAATGATCAAAAATATCTCTTTAACTTTTACTCCCTCCATTACAAATTAATTGAATTGTTGAGATAATTTTCACTTTTCAAATTAACTTAATTATTTAATTTTCAAGACTACTTTTAGATTATTCTTCCAATTTTACCCTCATTAGTTAGTATTGGAATTAGTTATTATAATTAATATTTAGTTATTTTAATCATAATTTTGACAATAATTAATAAGGGTAAAAATGGAAAGCTATGACTAATTTATATCTTTAATCTTCCTTTTCTTAAAGGGTGTGAACACATCAACAATTCAATTAATTTGAAATGAAGGAGTATTTATTAGTTGATCTTACTCCTATCATTAATATCAAGTTATTCATATTCCTACCCTTTATAAATTTATCATTCGTACACCTCATAGGATGGAAATCTTCAAATCAACTAATATTACCCCATTTCAATTAAAATTATCTAATTTCCTCTTTTTATATAAATCTGACCGCTAAACAAAATTATTATTTTTTAATTAAATTTCCAAATTCATCTATTTTATCTTCTTCATCTCCTTTCTCCATTGAAATAGTAATGTCAAAGTCTTCATGATAATAAATCTATTAGGTATTGCAACATCCTCCAATTTAGAGTCGTCCTCACACTAGGGTTCAGAAGCACCCCCTCGATTGGCTGGGAATAATGGATTTAAGAAATCTGCATAGATGTGCCTAAGAGGGATGTTTGGGTAGGAATAATGGATGTATGAATCTAGTATATGTAATGTCACATTCCTATTTTTGTCACTCCGCTCTTAAAATAAGGAAATTGTTTTGAGTAAAAAAAGTTTTTTTCAATTAAAGTGACATTTTAAAAAGGGATTATTTATTAAATCAAAGTCGTTACTTAAAATTGAGTTTTGGTGTTCCAAGTCATCTTATTTAGACCCTTAATCAAAATGAAATTTATTGATCTGCAAACTAAAAATTCTGATCTAAGCATCCAAACCCCAAATTTTGACTGAAGTCAACTCAAAGGCTCAAATCTCAATAATTTCCAATTTAGCACCTCAAATCCTAAAAAAGACACCGAATTCGAAACCGACAATTCTGTTAAACCAATTTCCACAATCTGAAACTGATAGAATCAACATAATTTCATTCCGACACTCAAAACTCTAAAAAACACTAAAAATTACTTTTTAACAATTTTAGCCTTTTGAATCCTAAAATTCTCAAAATTCACAACTTTTAACTCAAAACTCGAAACCAATTTCAAAACTCATTCAAAAATGACTCGGGACCAATATCGAATGGGATAAAATGGTAATTTTATGAAAATTTCCAAAAATGACTGACTAGGTCATTATAGAAATGCTATTTTTCTTCAGCTTTTATTCCAAACTGGTTTTAACAGGAGTCGTATCACCTGGATCACTTGATTTACTGATTTTGAGATATTAGAGGCATCTCAGATGTACTTAATTTTTTTTATTTAACTAGTAAAATGAATTGACGCCCTTTCTTGCATGACTTTTGGCTACTCATGATCCTCTATGGAGCTAATCGCACTTTTGGCTACTGCCTGATGCCCCTATTGATTGATCGTTGCCTATTCGCATATTTGTCACGACCCAGGGATACACCCTAGATGTAACATGGTGTACTTGACCCCGAAGGAATCTTATACAAGCCACTTAGCACATCATAACATAAGATAATAGAAAAGTACAGAAATTTTAAAACTTTATCCATACAATCGAAGTCTTTATAAAACGAAGTGAAAGTCTTACTACACTTAGTCTCAAACCATCTATTACACCTTTGAGACGTAGCCCATACAATAGTCTCAAAACATAAAGAAAGACATAAATGAAATAGTAGTTTTATCCCCGAAGCTATGAGGACTCACCAAGTCTTCAACTCCTTGCTCCTTAGAAACCTATCCTCAAGAATGGAACTCAAATCACCGAACCCTACATTTGATGAGAATGTAGGCAAGAGTATGCGTTAGTACAAAAGTACTAAATATGATAACTAGCATAACATCATAAGAGCAAACATAAGGGTTAGTCAACATAAGACATAATCCATAAGCATTAGATATAATAACATAATCATAAGCATAATCTCCAACATAGACATAATGTAAGCATCAGTCATCATAAAGCATAATCCATGTACAGAGTCAAGTCTTAGACTTTCATATCATAAGAGAACAATTTCATAAGTAGCTTTAAGTTATATTTGTGCAATGCATGAATAAGACCCCATAATGCCATTCATGCTAAGTATCCCCTTTGGTCATCATAATCATATTTACCATCTCATGGTCTCACCCTTAGCTTAATTCTCATAAACAAGGGAATCTCTCCCCTTTATTCAATCATATAAAGAAAGGCAACTATAGCACAATCATATCTAAACATACATCATATAAGAGAACACTTCCTTAGGTAACCTTAAGTCATACTTGTGCAATGCATGAATAAGACTCCATAATCCTACTCATGCTAAGTACCACTTTTAGGTTCTCACAATCATAATTCTTGATTTGGAGACTAGTCCCCCTTTTTAAGACATTGGAAGCTTAGAAGATACTTCTTTTAAGCATATCTTAGCCCCTCTTCTTAACTTTTGAACACTATGAAATACTTACTCAAGCATGTCTAAGTTCATTAGGTTTGAATACTTGAGATACTTCTTTAAGCATGTCCTAGTTCATTATATTGGAACACTCGAGATACTTCCTTAAGCATGTCTAAGTTCATTATTAACTTGGAACACTTCTAGATACTTCCTTGAAATATGTCTTAGTTCCATAATAATCTTGTACTATTGGGAATATAGCCTTAACCGACATGGGACCACATGAGCTTTCCCATGATCCCCTCCAATGTTACACTAACACCGAGAAGGGTTGATCTACTTGCCTAGGGTAGAACCGATTTGTTAGCTTAGTTGGACCCACTAGCTAAATTTCCTACGATGCACATAGTTATAGGATACAGAGATTCTACTAGGAAACCCAGACTCCAGTTGTGAGGAACTCCATCTCATGAGATATACCTTGGGAAACTTAGACTCTACTTGTGAGAGTTCCCATCTTGGAAGCCGGACTCAACTAGGTAAAATCTTCCATCTCAATTCAATATACACTCGGTGCTAGGCATACATCCCACAAGATAGCTTATTAAGTCTTACTTAATTCATAACTCATGGAGGGATGTCCTTGACAACCAATCCATATTTCAAGTGCTTCTATAACTTTATACATTTGAACATTCTTAATTCAACACGTTATCTTTAATCTCAAAGCCTTAAAATCAATACTCATGACTACAAGCCTTACTCTCAAAGCTTTACCTCTTACCGACATCATTCATACCTAGATTTCAAGGCAATCTAATCACATTCTTCATTATCAAGTGATTTTAGTCTTAATTCATCATAAAGGTTCAACTTCAAGCTTTACTAGTCATGATCCATCATATATATATACTATAATCTAATTCAATTCATGTTTACAAGCTTTCATTCATGAACAATTCCTATAGAAGTCATCAATTCTAGAAGATCATCTATGAATCCTCAATTTCACCTTTCATGGCATAAACCCACATTACTACAATCTCATCAATTAAACTAGGGTTAGCCATGGAAAATATGTAATATCTTCATAATAACATAATTCAATGCTAAATCTATCATAAACAAGTACTATCCACTCAATTGGAATAATACTCAACATTACCCACAATATATGAAGAAACTCTAGCTAGAATTGGGATCTTCACAATTAGGGGAAATCTATGGGGCTCCATAGATGGAATAATCCATGTATGAATAAGCTATCATACTGAAACGACCCCAAAAAATGCCCGAAAATGTGCTTCGGAAACACCTATAATTGTAATTTCCATATATCTCAAAATCCGTTTCGTTTTTCGAAAATCCGACTTCATATTCTTGTTTAGGGGGTCAAATTGAGTGGGAAATGGGTCTAACCCAAATTTTAGAGCAACCGTATCAAAATCCAAAATTTCCAAGTGAAGCCTTTTTCGAGGGTCTACTTTGGAGGGTCATATCTCCTAGCACACAAATTATTTGGTGGCCAATAATATATCCATGGAAAGCCCTTTGAGTTAGCTATCTAACTCACTTCGTTTCACCTTATTCGGAGTTCGGAAGAAGAAGTTATGCCCATTTTCGTAAAGTCTGTCCGGCAGAAAATCCAAATTCCAGTAGCTGATTTTACTGTTCATCTACTGTTCACCCGCCTGTTTTTTTTTCTAAGTGTTGGACCCTTTTTTTCAAAGGACTTATATTAATTCCTAGATACCATAATCCAATTCCCATCCCAAAAAAAAACATTTCCCTCTCTACAATCCTCCATTTAAGAAGAAGAAGAAGTGGAAGCTAGGGCTTTGGATTCAAGGCTTTC